CTGTCTTTGATGATGATGATGATGATGATGAGTGTTGGCCTAATCTGATGGTGCAATCAATACGATACAAATATCCCACGCCTGAGGCTGTCATGCAGAGCAGATGCATCTGGTGCTGCATCGGGCTCATGATAAAGTCTACTAGTTTCTCGACCGCAGTGGTTTTTAGGACGGCCTTTCCTAACCCGTCCTTCCTCCGGGAAATGCAGTATCGCTGGTACTATAAATATGGACATTCTGATCGCCTGAGAAAGACAACTTACCGCCTTCATGCTCGCATCGCAGAGGAAAATATGATCTTACCGCCAGTGGCTTCTTTCTCTTGGTTTGACAGGTCTCATTTGCCCTTTCTGGGACCATGCAGAACAAAATTTCGGTCAATGTAGCCCGCGAGGTCATTGCAGAAGTCTAGCCCGACCAGTGCGCCCAATTAGCAGCTTTAAGCCGTTTAAAGGTCAAATTCTAAGCTAGTGATTGATAATGAGCATAAAATACGGCCATTGAAATAAGCAGTCTCCTTAAATATGCTGTCCTCTGATGGCTATAATAAGCAATGTACTGGTTGATAGTATTAGCTGTTTTCTTGTCTTGTGTGACGGCTGAGTACTCTGAGTATAGGCACCATTTATTGTTATCCAACAAGCTATGGGAATTTTTCGAATATTCATATGTAGCCATTTTAATAAGGGTTATGCCAAAGTAATCCCATGGGATTAAGCTAGTAAGAAAGGCTTCCAATCACGGCAAGCCGAAAATTGTTGGTCACATTTTTTATCCTTATTAGCACTTGACTCATTTCAGAACAAGAACTTAACGACCACATGGCTAAAACACGTGACCGCCCAACATGCCTTTACAACTCCTAAATCGGTGGTCAGTCACAGTGAAGTTTCAATGTTAGAGACAATGGTTGCATTCCGTTCAAACCAACATAAGAGACTATGCATTTGACAAGGCCATCAGATTTAAAACGCTTTACAGAATTGGTCAACGCTGCCTGATCCAATATTTACCCCCTCTAATGAAAGGTTCAAAATTATACGAAAGAGGATTTGAAAAACACACCAAGTCATTCCTCTCATCATCACCCCTTTGTAAAGATAAGCAAATAAACCAGCAGGAGGAAACTAACGAAGTGGTATTTGCCTAGCCCGAGCTTTTGTTCTCGTTAGTAGGAGGCCGTACCAACCAACCTAGAATTGAACCACAGCAACCAAATGAGCTTACTAAGATTGGTTATTCTGACGATGGAATTCCAAGAAATGAAAAGAAAGCGAAGCTTAAGAGGTACTAGGTGCTTCTCTTCGTGACGTGGAATTTAATTCATGATTCCTATCTTGATTAGTGACTGTACAAGGGTGACGAAACGCTCCCCCAAGAATGAAATATGCAACACCGTCCGAAGTCAGTCAATAGGAAAACGGCAACACGCTGCTCAGTGTGGCCAACAGTATTATTTTCACCGGATGCGAAATACCAGTGTAGATAGAATGATTTCATTGACTTTAGGTAAGACGTCATTCAGGTAGCTGAAGTATGATCCAGGTTTGACAAGCACAAACTGGATTATCACATGCCAGCTGACCCAGTTTGCCTAGCAGAAGCTGCGTTGAAGCTCATCTGAATCTGCTTCCACCGAAAATAACCCAACTGGGTTACGTATCGACACTTACGGCTAATTCATAACAATGATATACAGGAGATGCGTAGTCGTGTATCATCATACAAACCGTAGGAACCAAACCTGAGCTGTAGCCAAATTACCGACATCCAAGGAGTCCATAATCCGACATACCTTCGAGAAGCAATAAACATCGTCCAGCTGCAACACCCTTTTGACGCTTTATTGCCATACCATCCGATCAGTGAGTTCGGGCCTTAACAACTGAGCCATCTCGGGCTTGCTTCCGGAAAAAACGTCAATTCAGTTCCTCGTTAGACGCCCATTCAAACCCAAACGAACTTGTTCAAGATTCCTTGCCAACTTTTTTCTACCGCAATTGCATACTGTCTAGTCTGACACATGCGTTTAGTGTTAATTAAGTTCCAAAGTTCTAAGAGTAACATCACAGAACTTGTGATCAAGAAACAGTAATAACAGATTCACCAATTGTTTACCAAAACTTTGAAAAGAGTAATAATTCCTATTTGTAACGAATCGGGGGTTTCAAACTAGGTTAATTTGCGCCTTCTCGATAAACTGTCTCAATGCAATATTACATTTTGGTTCCTATCTTATCAGGAGAATAAACCAAAAATATGTAGCGCGACGTGTTGAACTATAAGGAAATCAGATACGTGTATTGGTTGTCTATCAGCTGGCTGTTGCTTCACTTGCCGAGCCTGGCAATCAACTTGCAGACGTCATCAAACGAGGAGACATCATCAGTGCTCACATCACCATCGACGTGCAATGATGTCTCCTCATTTGGTGACGAAATGTCTGTAAGTTACTGGCCAAACTTGCACAGCAAACCAACAGTCGCCTGATTAACAACGCAAAATGTAGATATCTCCATCGCCGAGCGATGGATTCTCGAAAAGTGGCTGACACTGAGCCATGGTACCTTAAATTTCTGGACAAATCACCTGATGAATCCAGATGCTGAGTTGTGGAAGCTTCGACTTTCCTTCCCAGTGTCTTCAACACTTGGGCTGTATTTTACACACGCTTGATTACTGGAATACGTGCAATATTCCAGTTACGCCCATGTACAAGCTTCCAATGCTTCGAGCTTTCTGCCTGAGAATGCCAATCACTATTTTGACACTACACCCACTGTTTTTGAGTACCGACCGCTAAACTGCTAGAGCCGATAAATAAAACGGCTTGTGAGTACATGTACTGCGCAAGGATAGCCGGATTTCAAAGAAGCACGTTTCAAATGTACGGTGATACGTCTGGCGAAGAAGTACACTTCGCCTGGTATTGTCATCTCACACATGACCCTGAGAAGCAAATAACCCATTCGCGCCTCATTTCAGCACACTGATCTAGTTCACACGCACAGAGGAAGGTCTGTGGCAAAGTGCTGGTACATTCTCGGGTGAAAAGTGTACATAGTAAGCGAATAGGGAAGTTCGGCTTGCAGAAATTAAATTGTGATATCTTCGAATAACCAGGGGTGGGTTTTCTACAAAAAACGCCTCCGAAATAAAACCGCATCCTGATTAAAAACAGTTGGTATTACTGTACCTCAACTAACTCCAATCCACTGTGAAAGGGAGAAAGACAAGGTGCAGAAGCTCTTAAACAACTGAACGGTTGACGTCACTGATAGGCCAGTGTGGCCACCAGAGGTTAGGGATAGCGGAAGAGCAACAGACAAGTCACTAACAACAAGCGGGTCAACAGGTCCGACTAGTAGACTAAATGTCTTTCGTTCGGTGACAATTGGTTAGGCTAGGAGACGGAAAACTTTAGCATGTCCATACAAAATGTCCCTAGTCCGCGTCCACTGGAAGTCGGTGAGAAAGAAAGAGGAACTATCAGTTAATAGGTAGAGAGACCGGGAACAAAATTAATCGGACTGATCTCAGATAGATATTGTCTATGTGCGTGTTGGTTTGGGTGAGGAATAATTGGTCAACAAATGGTTTTCTATTTCTTGGCGAGAAAAATACGACATTGAAAAAAGCATACCGACAGAAGTGTGAGGTAATATTCGGGGAAAGTAATGAAATGGATGAGGTGAACGGGGCAGAAAGGAACAAATAGAGAGCTGATTATGGAACTCAAGGAAGTGAAAGAGAAGGAAAGCTTGCTCATTAGAAATGAAGAAGAAGAGTCGGAAAGACTTTGGCAATATGGCGGACACGTCTTGTTCACGACCCACAATGGGAATAGGCACGTGAAGTCTGGTTAAAAAATTGGACTACGACACAACAAACAGCAATGTCATTGTGTATAAAAAAATCCTGTAAAAGTTGTCACACAAACAGCTGCTCAAGGACGACTAGTGGTAGTTTGATCATCACCAACGTCAGCAGAAACCTAGTAAGTGAATTTTTTGAAAGAGAGGGGGGCGAAGAGGGCATAGATACGGATAAGTTGGAAGGAGGTGAGCAAAACTTTGGGGACCTGTAAGTTTCGGTGTGTTTTGGAGAGCCATGGGGACCGTGTTGGCAGCTCTGAGTGCAGCTGAAATGCTAGAAACAACCGGCTCAAATAGGAGGCCAAATTTTGGAAAGGTGCTCATAGAACGCTGTATAAAACCGCACGGCTTGACTGATGCTCGTTGTGCAACACAGCTCGCGGCAGGAATGCATTGCAAGCTGTGGAAAACCGACGTCGGCTGTTGCGATTCCCAGTTGTGACGATAGCAATGGCCCAATCGTGCTACCACAGTGCATATCTTGCCGGACTACGAACTCCTATGAAAGAAGGCAAACGAAAACACAGTAGACAGTAACATATACTGTAGTTTAATCAATAAAAAACAACCAACCTACAACTTGCACTAAGCTGGATAGCGAGCTAATTCAGTGACCCAATTGGACGATAATGAAAAGACCGCCTTAGATTTCAGACAGGAACACTAGCACAACGAGATTTCAGCCAGACCGTATTGGAAAATGTACTTCTTTTGCGTTGAACTTTCACGCCGCTTCAAGCATCTCACGGGTTGATTGTTGTTCATGCGCGAACTCCTTGGTGTGTTGGAGAGCGTAATTGCGTATTCGAAAGTCGACCGTGTTTCACCAGCGCTCACAATTTATACATATGCGCTGCTTTTACCGCACATGGTGAATCACAAGTAATAAAAAAACCATCAGGTTGCGTCCCATTCAAAGGGGATTTGACATTCTGAAAAGCAGCTGACGTGTGAACCATGGGTTCTTCTATAGTCATACACACTTTTTAAAATGAGTTTCAAACGGCCAAATCTTGTGATCATGTTTTCGTTTCAGCACCCTTGGACCACCGAACTAGAATTTGATTTGAATGATCCACGCCGGTACGTGTTCGTATATAGGTCGGGCTCAAGGCTCAGATCATAGCAGCCACGGTCAAATGAGCAAGTATGGGTCAGTGATCAACGCGTCCCCTTAGGATCCGCTGTGCTTCCTTCTAATACGCAAGTAAAAAGCTAATCATTCAGCTGTAACACCCTTTAGGTGGCTGGTTGCCATATACCCGAAGGAAGCATGTGGGTTGAAATACTGTCAGGTTGCAAAAGCGAGGTGGAGTTCAAGCCACGGACCTACCGGTCAGTAAATTCGCGCTCTAACCACCGAGCCATCTCGCGCAAAGCACAGTAAATGAAAAAAACGTTCCGATCAGACTTCCCCAAAAGGAAATGTCGCCCTGTTCATTCAAGTGCCTTGTTAAACAATTAAATGGTTAAGTGATGAAGTAAAATGCTGACATTGTGCTAAAAACGCATATCCAATCCCGTGTTGATCCGTCGCTGTCATGGAAGCCGGTGGGCTAATTCGGCCACGTACTGACTGTATTGGTTATGTGACTTGATCATTATCAAAGGACACAAAAGTGAGCCATGACCCGATGGAATATGTAGAAGTTAACAGCTGATCTACCCAAATAAGGGAAATATTATAAAAGTTTAGTCGAAAAAATTTACTATGGAATTGCTTAAAAGGCAGTCCCTTTCCAAAGGGAGACCGCCACAATTCAAAGGAATGAAAAACACGTGTTGTTGGAAGAACAACCTCAGAAGGGAATAAGAATGTCCACTTCCCAACAGCAGACCATGAAAGCGTGGAGTGTCATAAATTTACAAGAATGATACACAATAAAAGTTGCATTTCAACTGTGAAAAGTATAGGACAGACTAAGGAAACCCAGGTGAAACACGATGTCCAAACTTCACCCAAAAATGACAGCACCGTCCGGTGTGCTAGGAAGCCGGAGCCGTACAGAATACTTGATGAAACCACGTATTGATCGAATTAGCAATTAACCACTGTCAGTGGGAAAAGTGTTCAACATGTAAATCAGGAAATTAGCAATTAGAGAAAACAGAACGATCCTTTCCGGAGTAAAAAACAAACCCAGTAACCTACCTGGACCGGAACATCCGCAAGACGCGCCAACTGGCGAACGGCTGCAGCAGTCAAGGAATTGGTCGCATACCTCTGGTTTGAGTTGCACTTCAGTACGATCCCACGGTGAAAGAGTGGTCGGTGATTCGGTTCATGGCGATCATGATATGATGGGTGCAGAGCATGAGCTTGATCCGCTGAGAGAAGAAAAGACTTGCTTAGCGATTCTTCGAAATGGGTGGCGGACACTGCGACCGGGTTTTCTCCGGAGCCCGTACTCAGGGTGTATTTGTCCTCAGCAAGTGTATTGGCCATACGCCGCAAAATGTTCATTGTATGTTGCGAGTTAGCTCCTTGGGTAGAAACAGAGCCGATTTCCTCGTGATCGAATAGGCAAACAACGCGGATTGAAGATTCATCTGCTAGGCTGCTTAGAGAATCGACCATTCCGTGTAGCCCGGCATAGGAGTTGAATAAGTTATCCAATCTCGGTGCATGGATGAACTCATTATGCAAACCACCAATACGAGCAGGTTGGAAATCGGCCAAGCAGAGCTCTAATTCCCACGTATCCATGTTGTCTGTAGTCCCTGTTTGTTCGGACACTAGTTGCAACAGACCGGTAGAATGACGACGACGACCGCAAAAACCAAACATCGAATTCGGAGCACTCGATGTGGGTGCAACCAAGTCGTTGCTTGAGTTCACCTATTGGTGTGAAGAAGATGCGATGGAATAATGAGACGTGCTCACAGCAAGAACAGATCGGGAGAGTATATAAGAAACTAGGGATTTATTTTGCTCTCGCGAGAGAAAACAAAAAAATGCAAAATATTTTGTTCCATCTGCACTCATCCTTCTCCCGTTATTGCACAATTACTCTGGTTTTAACGCACCAAAGAGTGAAGCAACAGACTCAAGTTTCGCGCAGCAAAAAATTAGAAAACCAATTCACACACCAATGGGTCGACCGCAGTATGGACTCAATTCCCAAAAAGTACCTGTTGGAGTGAGATGACTCTGGTATCTGGGATTGCGAGTTGCAACGAAAAACGCCCCTGATAATTTCTGGAAGTGATATACGGTTGGATCGAGCTGACACTGGCACCTGTAACAATGTACTCGGTCCCAACTAGGAATTGTATGTGCTGGTGATGAACCAAAATGGGAGTTTGCAAAACAAGATCGTTGAAAGTGGAGAATGTAGACAATGAGTTTATGATTGTCAAAAGTGGTATGCTGGTAAGATCAACATATTCTCCATTACCGCTGGTAATATTCGTTTAAGTAACGTTGTTGCCTGTTGTTTTGACATCCAGTTTCAAGGTTCTATCAGCAGACAATTAAGTTTACCCGCTAACGTCGTTTCAACCTAGAAGAAAGAATATCATGCGTCCTGACGGAATGTATCAGGAAGTTCTTGTGATTTGTTTCACTGATAAAATGAAGTTTTTTTCGGCAGAACACCCAAGAGATCGACCAAAATCGCTCTCTGGACGCTACAAGCCTTGTGTTCGCTGACTGTGAAATTGAATTAAGGAAGAACACCTGCGTGTATTAAGAGGTAGTGATTACCGCTGCAATCCGGTCAGTCATTTGATACCTGCTGTTGACTTTTCTTGATATTCGCGGTTAAAAGACTATTGCCATCCAGTACCCCGTTTTTCATCTGTCGATGGTGCTCAATTTCAGTTGCTCGGCCAGATGGAAAGGTAGAGGTAAAGAGGGACTACCAAAGTGGAACAAGGTCTCAGTTGCAACTGTATCCTCAGTACCACTACATTCGAGGTGACTCAGTACTCTAACGGATTCTTCTGTGGGAACAAGTGTTAGCCGTACTGTAGTTGAGCTCAGACGCGGTAAAATGCAGTTGAATATGGATGCCCACTATGCTTACTGTGCGTCATAAGACCTAGAGTTGTTTTCACGGTTATCTGCAAAGATAGCCAACAGCTGCTCCCTTTTCTCACATCGTATGTGTTATTTTGGGTAATTTTTGATGAGTACAACCATCAAAACCATAATTTGAGGTGTTTACATACGCCGATGCTTACAAAAGCTCAGCCTAAACGCTACGCGTCTCACTCAGGTTTTTCATAGTCCTGATTTTTTTTTATGGTGATACCCCCCTCTCGCAGACAGGAAGAACAGTTCGTTTCATCAGAGCCTCTCCTCCTGTGACCTTTCATCCAAATGAACCTAGGTCATTACTGAATGCATTTACTCCTGAGGCGTACGAGACTGAACTTGAAAGCGCATCGTGTCAATACCAAATAGCTCCATTGGTAGCAAAAACGTAGTCAGCGGTCCCATAAAATTACGAGATCGCTTGCCTTATGTAATACACGAAACAATAAGTAAAGAAGTGTGAAGGCAAATAGTCCAAATTGCCCTCCAAAGAGGGCAATAGAGTAAACCAAGCGGGTCGTCGAAACTAAGGGGTTGGAATTCTTCCACTTATTACTGACTGATTTTGAAGTGCAGTTTGGAGGGATTCGGTACCTCTGATGTTAAGAGGAATTATACCGCAAACTAAATAGGATGGGAAATCGTCCTTCAGTGTGAGCGTCGGTCGTCGTTGTGCGTGTCATACCGAAAGCGGAGAGGGGTCGATGAGAAGAGCGTTTAGGACATTCTGACGAGATGCGGGCAACTGACCAACAGCGAATTCAAACAACCGCAGGAAATCCATAGCAGTATTTAGGCTTTTTTTATGGTAATGATCGAAGCTTTGCCAGAGAACACCACGGTCGATATTGTGTGCCAGGACCTGTTTTAGAGAGGGGTCCAGGTCGTCAAATTCGATTAGGAGCGTAGAAATACGGATCAAAAGCTTGGAGAGAGAGCGACGAACGCTCGACAATGACAACCATAATGTGCCCCTTAGTGGAATTTCAACCTGCCAATGCTGCCCAGCTATCGCAAGATACAAACTGAACACATTGAGTAGTCTACTCTGATTTTCAGACATGCGTGATTCCTGTCACACAGCTGGTAGTTACACACACCACTATGAGAGCTATTCACTCTGGACCTTTTTGTTCAGATTGCGAAAGCCATGTATGTTTGTGTAAGTTGAGACGCGAACTATACATCTGAGACGCCTGTCAGACACACCAACACGGTGCAGCATGCCTATAGAAGACAAGCCCCTCTATTCGCGTACCCAATGTTGAAGTCAACAATGAAAATAATAACCAAAGAAGAGAAGAACAGCGTTGTTTGATCAGAGTCATTGAACAGTTGAATGTGATACTATATGTATGTGATACGATAATCACATGAAGTGGACAAACAACACATGGCGGTAATAGGGTGTCGAAAGATCGTAACATTAAGATAATATCAGCAAAAGACAGCGTGCTAGCGCGTGGGTGCTAGTGCGTACGTTCGCAAACAAATGCGTGGTCCGGAAACAATCGGCTGTTCATAAACGCGCTCATCATCAGCTGAGCTGCCAATCACGCCAGGAGTGTATGAACATTGTGGATCCAGGTTAAGACGATCAACACAGCCTGTGTTGATACCATTTCAGAAAAAACTGAAGACGCGTACACAATTGGATAGCTATAGCTGACGTCCAAGAAGGGTGATGTATGCAACCGAATCGCATACACACAGACAGAGGTATACGAGGGCCGACAATCGAAGTGACAGAATGGTACATGTGACACTCTCGAGGGTATACTGGCTGTAACGAGGTCTTGTGCAGTACGCTGAATGATGCTTGCGGTGCCCCATGAGCTTGGACGAGGCCATATAAATTTCCGTTACTCGCTAGCTAACGAGTACTAAGGATCGGGCACGTAATATACCAATGACCAGCGCAAAACTGATTGGGATGTAGCAGAAAAATGAGTTTCCTTAACACTCCAGTCTTAAACATAAGATGAGCAACAGGCCCGTAGTTCTGAAGGCCAGTATAAGTCAATCAAAAATGAATCGGAAGATAACGGCGCTAAGACACTGACAGATATCGGGTGTGTCAAGACGTTCTCTCAATGGATCTAACCTAAGGCAGTTTACAGTAGCAACAGTGTAATGCTTGAATTTGATTGCATATGTTAAACAGCCGACTTAAAATCAAGGTAGAGTTATGCATAATTCCAGGTGAATCCAGCTTGGAGAAACACATGAAAATTCTCTCATGTCAATTCACTATAAGTCTTCCGGAAAATAATCACTGAGTTACGGTCACTGCATTATCTTCTAATCAGTGGTTGACTCAGTCAGACAACCTAAATACTCCTGAATGGTCGGGTATTTTATCCGAACTAGTAGTCTACTACAATAGAGAGCTTGAGATATACCAAGCCATGGGCTTGACATCAAACCATACACACCCAAGCAATCTCACAAATAGTCAAGAGAACTTCCAGAAACTAGAATTGATATTCTCTCCGGTATCAGACAAAGCTACGTTAAAAAACCACCAACGTTGGATCATCGATATTACCAAAGGACTGTACGCAGACATTGGATAGGCCATTGTTTTGCGGGTAGGCCAGATCAGACGGAGCCACGTGATACATACTGTGTCATCAACTACCGACTCCATCCTCTTACTTCACATCAACAGAGGAAACTGTAGTAGTTTGGATATCTACCATATGACGTATTACAGGAGACTGCCAACGGTCCTCAACTACCGGCAATTTTCACCAAGAATAGGAATTATAAACGTAGTTCAATATATTGACTGTTCAAAGACAGCATGAAGATTTAGAAAGCACTGAAATCAAGCGATGGTTATCGTGATGCTTCAGATCAATCAAGCGCGAAATACTCGCGGTAAGCCATCATAGAGTACAACGAATCTGCCACCTAGGTTCGGCAACCGAGGTAGATGTCAAGCGAACCTAAACCTAAACAGACAAGCAACAGATCATAGTCAACGAGAAACTTTGCTATACTCCCTCGCAAATATCAGAGAAAACGGGGGGCTTGATACTTGCTTATCAAATATTTAATGAGCAGAACTAGTCATACCACTATTGATTGTTTGCAGCAATCAGGTGGGTACAGTGAGTTACGCACAAAAGCCCAAAAGTTAAATAGTTCAAATATAGGTTTATCAACGAATGAAGTACTACGAACACAGTGATAAATAAAAATGTGCAAAACTCAAATCGTGGTTACACCGGGTTAGGTACTACTACTTCCAGATGGGATCCTGTACACATAGGCAAATAGGAAACAGTACACCTACCCGAAGTTCACACCGAATCAAGACAAAGGGGCCATAAGATGGCGAAACCTACGCAGTTGATTTAAACTATATGTGCGATGACAGGGTGAAAAAGCGTTCAAGCCAAAACAAAAAGGGACAAAGGTGCAAAGCAGAAACAACAAAACGAGGAATTCTGTCGTACACAACAGGAATAGAAAAAAGGATCTACATCGGAAATAACTTCCATAAGAAGCCAAATGCTTTGTTTGTATCTAAACCATTCCCTTCTTTTTTCTCCCTTTCTTCTTTCGTACTTTTAGATCGCTTGCCATTTTTCACTTTTAGTACTTAAACTGCCATGAATTACAAAATTTCAACGCGCGAAGCGACTGTAAAGCAGCGTGTTTTCACAACAGCTCTATTACTAACACACAGGAACAAATGAGATGACTGTGTCTGGAAACTGTGTCGTGGGAAACCTGACTATGCATAGGGGAGGATATGGAACGACCGAAGTGGATGATAGCCGGGAGTAAGTTTCTGGATCACCGTAACATACTGTCTCATCACGTGGCGTCAAAACTCGTGAGTGAAATTTACAATTATGATTTCGCAGTTCCGGTACACAGTAGCCTCAAATTCGGTATCCGAGCTACAGATTGGTATCTTTGTTTACCCAGCTTGCCACTACGTCTTACGGTTTCGGACCCCACTTGGTCAATCCGATAACTTTGTGAAACGAAACTGGGACCACTTCTGTGGGACATTGTAGGTATGCACAGCTGCGTTTTCTCTTCTTCCTGATAACTCGTTGCCCATGAGTTGCAACAACCTTTCCCCCATAATGTTAATAAATCGAAGTCTCGAATGCCATTCGGTATTGTTAATTTCCAAAATCTGAATGTCGAACTAGGATTCTGTTCAACTGAATGTACATCAGACCAAAGATGTCCGAGCTTACTAACATCGCATTGTTCAGAAAGTGTAAGCATGAGAAATTGGGGAAGTGTATCAGGCTCCAGACTACGTGATGTTCAGAGCTGCTTATTTCAGTTGAGTCTCATGTCACGTGGAGCAGTGACTGGACGACGCCATAATTACAGATGAAAATAAACTCCCTTTCGATCGATTAGATGGATGATAGTATCAGTCATGACACTCGATGTGTAAACGTAGGGAACAGGAAGACTTCTATCGCCAACTAATAGCAGGTGTCAACAAGGATGAGACAATGCAACAGTGCACACCTACTGCTCCACGTCGATGCAGTGCCAGTTTTGTGACGGGAACACATCAAACAGACGAAAAACTACACATGCGACTTCAACGAGAGCCCGTGAAGTACATTAGCATGTAACGCGCAAAAGCTCATAACCTGAAGATCAAGCTGGAGGCCGCTTTGAATTGAGACTGTAAAAGTATCAATCAGTATATGATTGAGCGAATCACTAAAAACATAGTAAAGTAGATCAAGGGACCCTACGACGGTCCTACAGGTGTCGAATCCGTTTTCTCTTACTCTTTGGGTGCTCTCATTTGCTTCCTTTCCTTTAGTGGCTATACACAAGAAAGGGTCTGGTTTCTGATAGGATCCGCAACCTGTTAACCACAAATTTGTTTCATCTCACGATTAATAGTAAAAACAAAGTAATCAGTGCCAGCTTGTATTTGTAGCATGTTAACTGTTCTCGTTAGTGTTGTAGTGACATTCCTGTAGAAACATGTACCAGCTTTCGACCAACGAAGTGCATGGCCCCCAAGCTAAAGCAGGGAACTTAATCAAAGCTAGACTACCTAGACCAGCTTCCTTTGAAGTTCAGTGGATTTATGGATCTAAGCGCAACTCACATCCGCAGGTTAGAAAACGAGACAGCTACACTGCTAGAGGACGAATTGAGTCGTGAACCACTAGGTGAATCTTCCCATACAAAACGGAAGGGCAAACTGCGGAAGGTCCTAAATGTGATACGGATCTCGTCAATAATACTAACAAAACTATCGAAAGAACGCACTCTGCGATTTCTGCCGAAAGATAAAGTGTCCGTCTTGTTCGACTGCCAAATACCTCGTAGTAAAATGCAGATAACAAGAGTCATCATAAGTTTGTGAATAGCGTTGGGATACCCCCCATATTGTTAGTACGATTCGTGTAGAATGATTAACCATTAACCACTAACCTGTCTACACTCGACTTGAAACGCCACAAAAAGAGCTCAAGACAACCGTGATGAGGCTACGAATGTCTGGAATTCTGTCGTTCGAACCCAACCTTAGCACCTCGACTGCTTCTGTCTAAGCTTGGGCAACCTGGCAGTATCTCAGCCCCTGTACTTCCTTTGAGTGGTATGGCAGCTATCGACCGGAATAATGTTACTTCTGGACGATTAGTACCGTTTATTACTATTGCGAACAAGACCCTTTCAAGTGCGCCAAATGAAACTCTAGAACGACTTGCGATTAAAGAGCTACCCTAACTTACCGAGAGTAGCTTCACAGTTTCCAAACCTTTGCGTTTTCTACGGCTTACATCTAGCAAGGGATACTGCGTTTGTGCGACTTGAAATGAGTCCACCGATTTGGCGTGCACTAAATAGAATAAATGCGCACAGACAAAAGCCGTTGTCCAAATGACAGTGATATAAATGAAAATTAAAATTAAGTTGTTGACTGTGATGCAGTTCTCGTTGTTCGTATTATCAACATCGTTCGACTGGTTGCAAACGGAATTCCACAATCAATAAGCCCTCTATTTTTCCTTATTTTTACTTCCGCGTCAAGACTTCGGTGAGGCGCAGTACCATTTTCCAGGTGTTCAACCAATGGGCTGAATAAGCTCGTTCAGAAAGTATAATTCAGCAAACTAAAGAGACAAAACTAGCAAACTAGCGTCCAATTAGGAAAGAGGAATATATGAGTTACATCGGATGCCCTTATCTAAGGGGACTAAAAAAAAGCGTGCGAATTAGGTAGAAACTGTCCATGGGACAGCGAAGCATAGTCAAAACTTACTTGGTCCATCAATTCCGTGCACAAAATAGGAACTACGTGTTGTTCAGTGTTCGGATTGAAACCGCTTGTCTTTATATCCTGGTTGAGATGAATAGCCAAGCTGGGTACACATGCAATCGGACGATCGATGTGAATCAGATGTTCTTGTAAGCGTCCGCCAGCGCCAGTTGTCACCGCACGGCCAGCTATTTTGAGCTCACGGTCAAACCAGGTGTACCAAAGGCCACCACCGTATGTCTCCACGCCCAGCTGGACATAACCCTCTTTGATGCGTTCCGATATGGGCTTCAAACGAAGACATGGACTATCTGTGTGTGCACCGAGCAGATGAAAACCGTTTCCTGGCTTGAATTTACCGCCAATCGCAGCTGCTATGAGTGTAGACCCGTTTTTCTTGATAAAAACGCAGTCACTGGGTTTCAAGCGCCACGTATCTCCTTCCTTCAACTCACGAAACCCGGAGTTCAATAGAAGTTCACAAGCCGAGTGTACAGCTGGAAACGAAATAAAAAGTGTTACAGTGCTGAAGCGGACGGCTTTTGTAATCGGAATTATCGAAAAAATGTTGTAAGGAACAAATGGGCTGTACTGTGATCAATTCGACGGTCATGTGTCAGCGTAAAGCAAAAAAATTACACCGTCCTACATAGAGTATCAAAGTACGTGCCGATCAATAGGTCGGTAAGGAAGTCACAGGGTCAACTGCAATTGGGTACTCTCGCGAGAAATGGTGGGCCAGTCTATCGCTTGGCGTGTGCTTCTCACCACGATATGCACAACGTTGACTGCGGATTTAACGTTCGCCCACCGAAGGAGACAGGAGATTGGCGCTGTGCCTAACAGGCAATGCCAATCGGTCTTGTTTATCATTTATGCATGAAACATCCTCGAAACCATTCAACAAAAGACAGTGTCAATGAGAAACCACAAACCCACCGATGCATCAGGAAGTAAACAGAAATTCTAAATCATGTGAGGTCTCAGTGCACAAAGAGCAGTCCCTAGCACAAAAATCCCGTAATTGAATGTCTTAGGCTCTAAATGTGATGATGCCAAGCATGTTTGCGGATTGGCACTGATGATCAGTTGGAATAAAGCGTGGCTGTAAAAATGTACGATCTGATGTCCTTTCAGCGTTTAGAAACCACAGAATTGGATAAACCGATTGGACTGGAACAACTATGCTGAATTTCGTTTTTGGAGAGTATAAGGGATGGGGATGTCAAAGTTATCCAATCTCCTTTGGGAGGTTAACATGATGCATATTAACCAAATGTTATTGTTTATGGCATTGGGACGAAGTGTACCACTTAAAGGAGAGGCTACTCTGACCACTGGTGAGGTGTGTTGTAATCCAGAACGCGGCCCAACCACCTCAACCTTACTTGAAACCAAAGTTTGTTAACACTCAGGAGGTTGATAGCTGACTTAAACCAGATAGGCCATGATACAGTTCAGAGCAACGATAGAGCACTGTATGCAGGACGCTACAGATGAAGTATGATGTGGTAAGGCCGGAATACAGGTTACTCCAATGATACTCCATCTATCACCGATCAGGGATTCACTGATCCGAATAAAGGACCGAGTGCGCAAAACGTTCAAGGGGCCGTAGATGGTGATATCCGTTATGTTCTGCTAAGAGGCGCAGCTGGACCTCACAACAGTTGAGTCGCAGATTGTTGCTACTTGCCATATGAAACGCAGACAGCTCAGCAGAAACATTGATCATCTCAACAACTAGTCCAAGATTGACCAAAACATCGGGGTGAAATGTGAAAAATGAAACCAAGCCACAGTGAGTAGCTTCAAAATACCGATCCATGTCAAGCTGAACTTGATGAGAGCGATTCTGTGCATACCTGTACTGTTCTCAATAGCACTATAGACTATATACGGTCGGTCATGGCAACTAACAGTGTATTCAGTGTGAGATCACGCCTCGGAGCATCCGTCCGCAGTTATTCACCAGGATCAAAATGATAGCCATCTTTTTTTTCCTGGTTAACTCATTCCGTCAAAGTTGGAAGCAATGAAACAGCAATCACCGGCCAGATACGTTGTGTTAACAGACGATGCTGACTGGAACTCGGGGACTACGGGCGAGTCGCAGCGGCTGACAGAGGCGTAGTGGGTATTCGAACGTTCCACCGAAATCATGAGTAGTGTATTTTGGAGAAAGTGAACCGACATCTGAACTGGCTAGCCTATCGGAATTAGCCGGGGACAGGGTAATTTAATTCAGAAACACTAAAGTAGTTTTCCAAAAAATTACTCAGCCCAATAAGTCAGCATGTTCCAAAGGAGAGCGACAGAATAGTTCAAAAACGGAACTATCCATGCCTTCATTCGTACGGGCTGACAGAACTAGGCTTTTTATCCAAATACGATATGCCTGAACACTATTGTTTCTGTGGCCGAGAAATAATCTCTTAGATTCGCGGGGTGCTCCGACTCGGTCCGTATGAAATAATGGCTACTCATTCCATTTTATTTATAATCTGATCACTTGTATCGGACAAATGAGTCGAGTATGTTGACTGACTGTCTTCGAAGCCGGACAAGTCCTCAAAAGATAGCGGACAGCACCAGATCATCATGAGAGTAAGGTCGACAAAATAAACATGCGATCGCAGTGCAGCATACTAGCTGTGCTATCGCATCAAAAAGCAAAGCAGCATTCAACAAGCCCTTGAAGATAAAATCGCCAAAAACATTGCAATAACCAGTCCGTACGTAAGAGACGGATCTTGCACAAGTGATCAACTAGACGCGTGTAAACATAAAAGAAGCGGTTCATTGTTCAGTGACGGTACGCACAATGGTGCGGACGTGCGAGTAACCGCCATCCACTATTAGCTGGAACTCTCACACTGCGAGAGAGGTTGAGCCGATCAATGCGACAAGTCCAGAAGGTAGGCTGTACAACATTACATACAAACGAGTGAGCATAGACGCACTATTACAACACATGAGTGAGTGATTAAGAGCAATTATACAATCGGTCTATTCTGTCCAAGGCGAAGCGCACGAACGAACGCGCCCGTTTGTGTGCGCGCTAGATTCAGGAAAAAGCTCGTTCCATGGTACAGTAGAGACCAACAGTCTTTAGAACATTAAGAGTGGTCGGAGACTAAACGACATCAAACTATACTAACTCTAAAGTCTTGGCTTTATATGGAGTTTGGACGCAAGGCCGAAAAGAACGACTATCACCAAAGATAGACACTATGGTCGCATTCGATTGGATACGCCACTATTTGAATTTAAATCAGTTCTTCGCCTCAAAAAAACGAAGTATCAGGTAGAGGTTTCCCATCAAAACTAGGCATAACGAAAGCGAGCAGGCGCTTACAAATCAAGTAAGCGGAAGGCTTACAAAAACACAAATTGGTATGTATGCAAGATTATTCGGAAGGCAGTGCTGAAAGCGACTTCCAGGGAGTGGATACATGTGACCATCGTTGTCTTGGTTCTGCGAGTTCTACAAAAAGATACACAATGGATTCAGCTATTGGCATTCGAAGGAGACGACACACTGTCCGGTTAGGGCATAAGCTCAGCAACAGTTGTTCTTCACTACGCTGAGTGCGACAGACATCAAAGCTACGGTTACCCATTACTATTGTTATGAGTAATATCACCATTGGTTTCATCACTGCTGTTTGTCTTTACATCATGCTCCAGTTTGTCAACTAGAAATGCGAGTTGTACTATGCCTTTGATTCTCGCCTAAACGGCGGACGAAGACACACTGGGGGACGTGCTATCGGAAGACCATCCTACCGCTCTTAATGATCAATGAGGAAAGCGGTGGCACCGAAAAATTGTGAAACGTGGTTGTAAATATGGGTGCGGAAAGGAAACAAAGTCAGAAAACCTGAACTGTAATGGACATAGATCGAGTGTACAATGCGATGTATCCCAACGGCATGATTATTGCTCAGTTGAACATAACTTCCTCAATAATATAGAATTCTACAATCGGGTGACAAAATTATACGGTGCAAAAGCCTTCCCAGACCATCTCCGGGAGATATCGTTGGCAGAGAGGAACACAGGTCTCCAATCGAATAGTAGGCGCCGTTTCATGAAGAGGGGATGGAAACTGGAAGTGCTCGTCGGATGATTACGCAGCCAGACCTTCAGATTGGTCTGACCAACCTGGTACGCACGACAATGTGGTGAAAGTCTGCAGCGATTGGTGGGTGGGTTAATACACCCAGACAAACTATTTTTGGCTGGGATTTCGAGCTCCATTGATTGGCTACCAAGGTGGTATATACACAGAAGTACCTCCTTTCGGTTTTAACCGGTACAGGTCCGGGACTAGTTGCTTTGCAGAAGAAAATTATCAAATTTTGGAAAAATTTGCAGAATCAAACACTGGTGTATAGGTAGTGCTTCAAATCAGCCCACAGTTTCGTAACAGAGGTCGATGACAAAGCCAGTGCCAATACTGTTTGGTCTGGCCGGCTGGAACATTTTTGTTATTAATTACGAAGAAAGTTAAAGCTGGATATTTGCGCTTGTCCGCCCATACCTAAAAGAGGAAACCACTGGAAGGTGGAGACGTAGGATCGTGTAAAAATCAGGGCCAAATAAAAATATTTGCCCAAATAAAAACTACCGACTGTTTATCAACCTCTTCTGAAACAATGACTTCTCAATCGGTTCCAAACCTTTTCCAATTGACCGGAAACCTTGTTTTCCAGGAGATCATGAATTCATATGACTAAGTTCGAAAGACAAGCCGATTGGAAACCCATGTCTGCCCTTAAAATTACGCACCATAACACCTGGAAACACGCGGCTGTGGGCCTCCCTCGCAGGCCATTTCCAGCTTTCCTAGGAATCACGCTTGCAAAGAATACCAAACAAATAAACACAACTAGGATTCAAAACAACTGATGAGAGGAACAATATTCATTTGACCAATGTTCTAAGAAACTGGGCCTTCAGCACCAACGACCACAAAGAAATGACAGTGACGGAAAATTTTCCTTCGTGTATCTATAGCAGGCAATAAGCAACCGCGACCACTGGCGTGTTCATCCGTTTGACCTCACCCCATGGAAAGCATCAGAGATCTGCACTGTTGATAGTACATTTTGCAGACGCCTTTTGTCATCCGTAAAGTATTAGCTCGCACACAAAAGGACTGGTCAACAACGTTGCTAACCAATCATTCGCATCACCAAACGAAAGGCTCCCGAGAGTAGCTGGCCTGGATAAAAAGTAACAAACTACGACGATCGTTGACAGCCTGTCAAGTGAAATTAAGATCGCACTCATGTGCCATCCACCGCACGATCCATAAAACGTGTGGCACCAGGTGGCAATGGTGTACTCAGCATGATGTAACCAATAACTGGTTACACAACAAACCAAATGCGATTGTCACGACTGTGCACAAACTCTTGCGGAACCTGGTCATCGGTGGCCACAAACTATTCTATCCGCTGACCTAAAATCCATTAGAAAAGCCAGTTCA